AGAGCGAGAGAGAGAGAGAGAGAGAGAGAGAGAGAGAGAGAGAGGGGAAGGTTTGTGGGAGTCTTTTACTCAGCACAAGGGTAATCAGGTCAGAGGAAAACCAAGAGAAAGTGCTGTTTGTGGAGCGTTGTTTAACCGGTAAAAGGATTGAACAATAACAGCAGAGGTTTTCTTCAGGTGTGTGTTTGTCAGCTTCAGAGTAAAGAGGTTTTGGAGAATCAAATCAGTGTTGCACACGCCTGGAGAAAACAAGAGCGATGAGCATGCAATGCTATGTGTACATGTAAACACAAACACACATACAGCTAATATAGGCCTACAAGCAGGATATGTGACATGACTAAAGAGTTTAGATAGCATTAACAAATGCATAACACTAACAATAAGTATTACATTTATTATTTTATAAGACTTCTGTCATGGAAAGGGTCCTGATACGGTGTTTTATTTTTATTTTTTTATTTTTTTTGCTGGTAATTCAAATACAATGGTATATAAGCTAAATAGCATATGTAAATGCTTATTATTGGATAATCCATTAAATTAAATATTTCATAAATGAAAGGTAATTAATCCCATTTGATTTACTTATTAGACACAAACCATAAAATCTGATTATTCATAACAAATTAATAGGCTAAGTCTGGTATCACTGCACAAACAGCTTTTATAATAAGTGATGCTTGAGTTTTAACATTGATCCATTTCCCTCTGAAGAGATTGATGATCTAGAAATACTGTCTACATATCAATAATCTAGAAAAAATATGTTTTTTTATGTGCATTACAGGAATATTCCTGGTTAAATGCAGCTTTAAATTAATTTAATTAAGACATACGACAATACCATATCAAATAAATTTGACCTTCAGTCTATAAAAATAAGTAAAATTACATTTAGTAGCCAATTTTGAAAGCATAGCCTCATTGTTAGACTACTGTGATAAAATCACTTACTAACCTTGTCTGTGTAAAGTTCACATACAGACTTAAATATCCAACTCCTGTTACATCCCGAAAAAACCTTGTAACTTTTGCAATGATACATGCAAAGCAATGTTGTTTTCATGAAACACCCATGAGCAAAGATGATAACTGCTATCGAGATAGAAATGAAGACCGTTTAAACAACTTTACAGGTTAAATAACATACATGTTTGTACTGAAGCAAAGAAAGTGTTTTAAAGGGATAGTTCACCCAAAAATTAATTAATTACTCACCCTCGTGTTGATCCAAACCCATAAAACCTTCGTTCATCTTCGGAATCAGTGACATCAGTGGTTCAGCCATAATGTTATGAAGCTACGGCAATACTTTTGTGCGCAAAGAAAACAAAAATAACGACTCTATTCAACAATTTCTTCTCTTCCGTGTAAGTCATGCATTCACAAGAGTGCCACGATGCATGCTGATGTCACATGGACTATTTTAACGATGTCCTTACTAACTTTCTGATATATAAGTTGCACATTTCTGATTTTAAACCGTCCAGAAGGCCCCATTGGCATTCAATGTAAGTGCATTACTATAAGCGTGATATTTCTTTGGTTTTAGCAGCTGAGGGACGATGGAGGCCTCCTGCTTTCCGTATGAGGAAAACTCAATCTGAAATGTGACCTTCGCTCTTTTGGCTCTGAAGGTCCTCAGTCAGGTTCTAGAATATTTTACAGCATGTAGCTGTTGTTGAATCCAGAAGGCTGTTTTCTGTGTCTGCAGACGGATCTGAGGGTTCAGCGCAGAGCAGTGATTCTCAGGGCAGCGTGGAGAGCCTGAGGAAACATCTGCGAGCCGATGCCTTCACGCAGCAGCAGTTAGAGGCCCTGGACCGGGTGTTCGAGAGGCCGGCATTCCCAGACGTCTTTCCCACTTCTGAACACATCAAACCAGAGCAGGTCGGTGGATGTTACCTTCTGTCCCTGTGTGTGTGAGGCTGCAACTGGGAAATATATAGATATTTAGACTTATTTATCCTTACAAAAATATAGCAATGTACTACGGTACAAAGATTGTATCAGATACTAATACCATGGTATACACTACAGGTGAAAAGTTTGGAATCATTTAAAAAAAAAATTTTTTAATGCGTATCTTCTGCTCACCAAGGCTACATTTATTTGATCAAAAATACAGTAATAACAGTAATATTGTAAAATATTATTACAATTTAAAATAACTGTTTTCTATTTGAATATATTTTAAAATGTAATTTATTCCTGAGATGCAAAGCTGAATTTTCAGCATCATTACTCCAGTCTTCAGTGTTACATGATCCTTCAGAAATCATTCTAATATGCTGATATGGTGGTCTAATAATGATTCCTATTATTATCAATGCTTTATATTGTTGTGGAAATCATGGAAAAAAGTTTTTAGGATTCTTGGATGAATAGAAAGTTCAAAAGAATAGCATTTATTTAAAATATTAATCTTTTGTAACATTATAAATGTCTTTACTGGCACTTTTGATTAATTTAATGCATGCTTCCTTAATAAAATATTAATTTCTCTCTCTTTGTTTAAAAAACAAAATAGTATGCACCCCAAATTGTTTAATGGTAGTGTATCACAGTTTCCTCAAAAATATAATAATAATAATAATTAAACATGGTAAAACATGGTAAATGTAAAAATAAACAGAAAAATACCATGGCATTTCTTTGTCTATGCAAACTACAGTATTTAAGGGATACTTCCAATGCTATTTCCGTTTTTTTTTTATGTCTCTGTGTGTATAAATATATTGTTTATCAGTAAGTGCTAGTGATGCATTGAGGATCAAAGAGCAGAACTCCCTCCATCCGTTTATTGATTTTCTGATGGAAATAACAATACATTCTCAGGAAAAACAACACGAGATGAGCTCCCACCCACTCAGCTGCACATGAGAAATTATGTCATTTCCTGTACGGCTCCTTCATAGCTGTTTACAAAATCTAAATATGGACAAACACTCACAAAGGAACAATGTTAGCAATTAATAACACATGCACACACAAACAGTAGCATATGAAACACTGTATGTACAATTCCGTATGAATAGTGTAGGATTTATTATAATGGATAACCTTTATTTACTTTCATTAGACTACTAAACAACAAGTGACGATTAATTTCTCTCCCCGAAAGAGTGAGTCGGAGCCATAAAGCAAAGAGAACGGCCTAATTGAGTTCATTTTCATTTGGGTGCGATCGGGAGACATTACTCCAGCGATTAATCAGGCCGACAGCACTCACCTCCAGAAGAAGGCCTAATTTGCAGCTAATTGCAAAACTGATTTTCACTGCAAGATCAATACCGAAATGAATTGGAAATGACTCGCAATCACAAAGGTTGTCAAAGAGGGTATTAAAAAGGAGGGAAAAAAGACGAAGGAAACACGGAAAGCCTTTGAAGGAAAAAATGGGCGAATAGAACGCTCTAGAAAAATCAGTTTTAATTTAAGGCAATATTAATCAGACTATTTTCTCCCTTCATAGACCTTCATTATTTTTTTTTTTCTCCTTCGTTATCCCTAAACCAGACCACCGTTCTATTTTTGTCTCTCTCTCTCTCTCTCTCTATGTCGGGCTATTAGTTAGTGGCTCTGTTCCAAACCTAGTGAGCTGCCTTGCTGTCTACTGCCCACTTAGGTAGCTGCCTTCTAAGGATGCTTGATTAAAGCAATGGAATCCCATAAATGACCAATCTGGAATGCTCTACATGTCTGCAACTAATAAAGAAATAGCACAATGCTTGTTTTTATTTTAGTATCATTGAGATAATATTATTTTTATTCATTTTTTTCATTTTTGTTACAATTTTTGTAATTTTGTTGTTTTATTATTTTTATTTTATTTTTTAAATACGTCGTCTATAGTTTTATTAGTATATACTTCATTTTAATTTTAGATTAGAATAAAATAAGTTACATTTTTTTTATATTTCTATTTTATTTCAGTTAACATTTATTTTATTTTGTGACTTTTTTTTTTCTTTTTTTTTTTAGTTTACTATAATAGCCCTGGTGCACATAACTATTTTTTCCACCGTGGATATATTTTTTCTTGTTGAATATCCTGTTACATTTTTAATTATGTAACATTACAAAAGTACAATTTATTTTTTTAATCATGTTTATATTTAATTTATATTTTACGTGCCGCACAAGTAGCGCTCCTCCTGTGAAGTAGTCAATTTTAACAATTACAATTTCTTAACAAAACAATTTGTATTTAACATTTTTGAATTATTATTGTTATAAATATTTTTTGGTACCGAATAAATTGTTAATATATGTGAGCTCAGCTCAGTGAGATAAAAAAAAATATATAAAGCTAAATAAATATGAGCACATCATTATTTATTTATTTTTAGATTTATATATTTCACATTATATATTTTATAGATTTTCACTGAGCTTGTCGCAGTGCATTGCCTTGGTATTGCCTTCACTTTAGGCCAAAAGAATACATTTTAGCTTTTGGAGCAGCTTTTGATTTCCAGAGCGTGCCTATGATTCCTAAAACACTTCCTACATAGGCAGCTGACTAGGTTTTGGAGCAGAGCCAGTGGTTTGGTTGTGTTTAGAGGCATTAAAAAGCCATTCTGGAGATGCTGAATGAGATAGGCTCTCCTCCCACACTTCTGCCAGCCATGTGCTCATCCTTTTCACTCTCCCCTCCATCTGCATGAGAAAAGCCCTGTTCTGCTCCATGGCCTCCACCGAAAAGAGCGGAACATCAGGCAGGGCTGCCGCAAACAGTTGTAGCCCACAATTAGAGTTTATCTGTGATAGAGACAGACATGGCTGGGGTCAGGGGCCTCCCCGTGACACACACACACACACACACACACACACACATTTACTTTGGACAGACATTCTCAACATGCAGACGCCGGAAGTCTCATCTCATTAAATAACAAAAGAGTTTAAAAAAAAGAAAAAAAATCCCCCCATCTGCTGACACGGTCTGAGGAACATGTCTGTAATGGAAGGGGGTTGTGAAAATCATAAATCTTATCAATGTCATTTCCGAAGCGGGGCCTTGCAACTATAAGTGATTCAGCAAAGGCTAAAACAACACTTCAGAAATGATCTTATTTATAGAATGAGGTGAACTAATCAAGGCCTCAATTTAAATTCATAACATGACATCATTTTTAGTTTCTAGGGAAAGTTAGAGGGGTTTTGCCCATGAGAAATACAACCGCCTCAAAAGATGGCTTGTTGTAGCAAAATAAATGTGTTTTATAAGATGAAGAGGATGCTGTGAGGGTGTTGTGAGGGGTTGCCAGGTTATTATCATTAACTAAAACTACTAAAAACTAAATTTAAGCTGAAATAAATTAAAACATAAATATTAGATAAAAAAATTTAACTAAATAAAAATGAGTAATGTTGCCTTGGCAAATGATAAGTTTGAAGTTTGAGATAAAGCACTAAAATTACTAACTGGAAATAAATAAAAACTAAAACGGAAGTAAATATAAATAAATAGTAATATAAAAAACCGAATACAAATTATAAAAGTACAATGAAAATAAAAATTTGAAATGTTGCCTTGAAAAAAATAACCGAAATGACTGGTTGGAGTACTAAAATAACTAGCTGGAAATAAATAAAAGCTAAAACTGAGTTAAAACTAATGCTGAAATAAAAACAAAAAAAAACTAAATAGTAATATTAAAATGATAAAAGCACATCAAAATTACAAAAAATTAAACTAAAGCTTAAACTAAAACTGAACATATATAAATACATTTAAATGAAAACTGAAAATATAAAAGTAAGAGCTAATTCAGAATATATTTTAGTATATAAATAATACAAAAATAACAAGGGTTATTATTATGTGGTAACATTTTTTGTGTGGGTTTTATTATTATTATTATTATTATTATTATTATTATTATATGGTTGCTATAGGGTGTTCTGGTAGTTTCAAGGTTGTTAATTACTGACGCAAGTAAAAAGAGACCAACCATAAGTCTGAGTGTCTCTCTCTCAATGCAAATCTGTGGGATTGTGTCAGTGTTGAGCGATGTTGACATGATTTTGATGTTGCTCTGGTCTGCAGGCGAGTGAATACAGCCTCCCTGCATTAAACGCAGGCCTGGATGAAGCCAAACCCAGTTTATCCTCCGGCACGACCTCTGACCTGGGCGCCAGCGTGTCACAGAGCTACCCTGTAGGTAAGATCACATGATCTGTCCCATTCATGACCATTTAGCCCCTCACATTCAGCTCAAATGGCTAATTGGTTATGAAGAATACAAATTCTCACACTGTGGCCTTGTGCAATTTTAAAATGATGCACTGAATATGCTTTCTAACTCTTGGAAGTAAAATTGGACGCAAAGTCAGTCATGTTTTATCAACATGCATGAATTAGATCTGCAGTTTTAAAACTCTCATGTGTAGTGATATTGGTCTTATAACAAATGTAATGAAACCAGCTTCAGACTTACGAATTGTTGCACAGAGGACGTTTGTTCCTTTACTGCTCTATCACAGCGCTGAGCTTCAAAATGATATCAAATATTAACATTTACATAAACATGTTCATCATTTGCTCATGGCAGACAGGGAACGTGGGGTATTTGTTTCTCTGTCTTTCTCTCTCTCTCGCTCGCACTTGTTAATAATAAATGATGGGACCGTTAATTAAAACGTAGTGTGCTTGTTGTGCCAGTTATTAATGTGAAATGTGTGAAGTTTACTGACAGTTTTACGATCGTCTTCAGGTCAAAGATAAATATACACCGCTTTTATTAAAATTCACATAATTATGTGAAAGTCATTACTCTGTGTGTGTGTGTGTGTGTGTGTGTGTGTGTGTTTGGCTGGTGACAGAAAGCAAGAGAGAGAGAGTGAGAGAGAGAGAATGTGGGTTTGTAGTTGATGAACTGATTATCTGTTTCATGGTAGTTTCACGTCACAACAGATTTGTGTGTTGTTTATGTTAATCAGGTATGAATATAACAATCAGGTTAATCTGTCATCATTTACTCACCTTCATGAGCCTCACATTCAATCCAAATGACTTACTTTCTTCTGTGGAGCACAAAAGGAGATGTTAGGGAGAATATACATGAAAGTGAATGGGGATGAATGCTGTCTTAAAAATAGTCCATATGACATATAATGCGCCAGTTTTGCATTTGGGTTTGGAACAACCCAAGGAACTTGCATTTTTTGGGTTGCACTAGTACTAAATGTGAATGTATTCCAGTTTAAACATGCATGATAAACTCACCAAATAGAAATTCTGAAGCAAAACTAAAATATTGAAATGATTTCCATTGGTTAGGCTGAGATCCAGTGTTCAGATGAATAGTTTCCTTAACGGAAAACAAACACAGATTACACTCATCCTTAAAATGTTTTCCAACCCCAATTAAAATGCCCACAGTTATTGATCTTGTTGATTTTATGCAAGGGAATTTGCATAATCTATTAAAAATGAATGATTCATGAAGCAGCTGGTGCCAGAGGAGATGAGGGTTCTTGGTGAACTGTGAACACCTCACAGATACACATCTTTTATGTTCTCGGCTTGTCCTATTAAAAATCCTTACTAACTAACTAACGAATTAACCAAATAACTAACTAACTAAATAAATACAATAAATTCAATAAAATAAAATATTAATTTGCTGCAAAATCTTTTTTTGATATAAAATATAATTTTATATCTTTATATAAATCTTAATATAAAATCCTTACTGCCTGCAATAAAATGTACATAAATTCTACAATAATATATAAAAAATAAGTACATATTTATAGGATTTTTGATGATTAAATTTATATTATATATTATAGTAATATATTGTAAAATGTAGTAAAATATTTACTAAAATAAATAAATATTGTCCACTTAAACAGCTTTAAAACTAGATCTGGTTTACTGCTTCTGCTGAACTTTGTCCAGTTATATGGAAAATGCTGCTGGGAAATGCAATTAATTTGTCACCTTAAAAGAAGTAGTAGTTTCTCTCTCTCTCTCTCTTTCTCTCTCTCTTTCTCTCTCTTTCTCTCTTTCTCTCTCTCTCTCTCCTGACAAACTGGCTATCCGTGTCCGCACCGGAGGGCACCACGCTCCTAGTCACACAAATTAATGCTTATTCCTTCTTCACAAAAAGCAAACTAACCTTTGAGCACACATTTGATAACAAACGACTTTCACCGTGCATCCAGGGAATTGGGGCAATTTGGCTCTCCAAACATCCTTTGCTTAGTTGTAATTAATTAGGGTGCCGTGTTTTTTGGCTGGTGATAAATTGCTGCATTCTGAATGTAGAAAATAGAGGTCAAACGTTTCCCGTAGCCTCCTTGTTGGAACATTAAGGTGTCCCTGTCGTGGCAAATTTAATACAGCACCGATGAAGCAAGTGTTTGCACTCAACCCTTTCGACTTTTTCAGATAATACTAAGGTCACCCTGATTTTCACCATAGAGGTTTAGAAAATTCAATAGGCGATGTGTGTTTCTTGCATGTTGACAGATTATTGATGCAAAGGCTAGTCTAGTCGTGCAATTTCTTAAGTCAGAAACATACTCAAGTATTCAAACAAGCATACTTGAATGAGAAAATGGACTGTAGAAGAAGATATTTTACACTAATGGTTGCCTTGTGGCAATTTTAAGAATGCAATGCATACTTACAGTACGTTGCATTATAAACTGATTCTCATAAGCTGTCCTCTATCCCTGGAACTGGAAAAAGAAAAGAAAAAAAAATCAACACCGACATTCAAGAAATAATCATCCACCCATCATAGTTCATTAGTCTAACTAAAGGTTCTTTACGTTGTTTTAAAGGAAGAGTTCATCCAAAAATAACAATTTGCTGAAATTTTGAGCTGAACATTTGTTTTTCATCAGAACAGTTTTGGAGAAATGTAACATTTCATCACTTGCTCACCAATGGATGCTCTGCAGTGAATGGGTGCCGTCAGAATGAGAGTCCAAACAGCTGATAAAAACATCACAATAATCCTCACCACTCCAGTCCATCAGTTAACATCTGGAGAAGCTAAAAGCTGAAACAAAGCCATCATTAAGATGTTTTAACTTAACACCGTTGCTTCCGACTAAAATATGAGTCTATAGTCCATAATATTGCTTTCTCCAGAGAAAAATCTCATCTGAATCAGAAGAGAAATCTGCACTGATCAAGCACCGTTTACAAGAAACAGCTCTAAACAAATATGTGGATGGATTTTGATATGAGAGGACAACAAGAGATGGACTTTTTCACTGAAAGAATTATTATTATGGATTATGGACTTGTATTTTGGCCAGAAGAGATGGTTTAGAGTTAAAAAAAAAACATCTTATTGATAGATTTGTTTCTTATAAACCTGCAGCTTTTTGCTTCACGAGTCATTAACTGATGGACTGGAGTGGTGTGGATTATTGTGATGTTTTTATCAGCTGTTTGGACACTCATTCTGACGGCACCCATTCACTGCAGAGGATCCACTGGTGAGACAATAATGTAATGCTACATTTCTCCAAATCTGATGAAGAAACAAACTCATCTACATCTTGGATGTCCTGAGGGTGAACACATTTTCAGCTAATTTTCGTATTTTGGTCAATTATTCCTTTAATGGTTTTAACTTAAGTGGCTTGAATTTTAGATTTTAGAGTAACAATATCCATTTTGTTTAAACAAAAACTAAAATTTTGTCTTGTTTAAGTGCATTCTTAGCTGTGTGCTGCATGTTTTTCTGCTCATTGGCAAACCGTCCTGGTCCACACAGAATTACACTCGCTGAGCTTTGATGGACACTGTCCTGCTCATTAGAATTGAACCGGCGGCCAAGTTTCCCCCAGCGTCCCCAGTAAACCCTCCACATCTCCCCCAGCCCCCCTTTCCTGAACAAAAACATTAGTCTGTGAGAGGTGTCAGGCTTCAGCGCTCGGCTGGGTCGAGGCTTCACGTCGCTGGGTAGGACAGCCAAGCGTCAGCCCCAATTACTGCTCTGAATGTGGAGCTTCTTATTGCTAAGAAGAGACATTGACTGTTTAGCCGAGGCCGGTATTGGCCGGTCGGTATGACCCTGCTTACATCTGTTCTCCGTTCTGACCCCAAAATGACAAGAATAAATCCTTTAATACACAGTGTTTCTGCAAATGTAGCTGCTGCATTTCTGTCACAGACCAAATACAGATTCTGTGCCATTTAAATAAAAAATAAACAATAAATTAATAAATGATCAATTATTTAATCAACAACACTCTTTAAAATAAAGATTCCAAAAGGAGTTTTTTGCAATGTTGCCGCAAAAGAACCATTTCAGGTTCCCCATTCAGTGAACATTTCTTAAAAATCAATTTTTTCCTACATTTTAATAAGAACCTTTTTCCTCTATTAAGAACCTTTTGTCCAATGGAACGGTTCCATGGATGTTCTTCGTGCATCATAGATGCCGAAAAAAAGAGTCTTTATTTATAAGAGTGAAGTTCGAAATGAATTTGCAATCTATTGAGAATCAGCTGAATGGTTTATAGTTTATGGATGGAACAGAAAATGAGGTTTGGTGTGATTTATGTCTGCAGGTCGGGATATGACCAACACAACCTTACCCGGATATCCACCTCACGTCCCTCCCACCGGACAGGGCAGCTACCCAACATCCACACTGGCTGGAATGGTTCCTGGTGAGTATTTCGAGACAGAGAAAGGTGTTTGCAATTTAAATAAAATTTAAAATGACAGTTGTTTAGTGGACTACTACTGTACAACTGCTCAAGACATTATTTTCCACCAAAATACAATTTAAAAAAATTATTTTAAAGGCACAGTATGAAAACAATGCACTGGAGTTTATATTTATCTTCAAATACATAAAAAACAGGGGAGGAAGTTTAATCGTTATGATAACGTTTTTTTTTTCTAAATACCTAAAAATAGTAAATTCCTGCACCAGTAATTTTCCCAAACACTTTCCTATCTGCCATTTATCTAACAAAAAGATAGTCCCGCCCCAAATGATAATACTTTATTTATTCAGCAAGGACACATTAAACTGTTCAAAAGTGACAGTAAAATACATTTATAATGTTACAACAGATTTCTAATATAAATAAATGCTGTTATTTAGAACTTTCTATTCATCAAAGAAAAATGTATCACAGTATCCACAAAAATATGAAGAATGTTTCTTGAGCAGTAAATCAGCATATTAGAATGATTTCTGAAGATCATGTGACTCTGAAGACTGGAGGAATGATGCTGAAAATTCAGCTTTGATCACAGAAATAAATTACATTTTACAATATTTTCACATAAAAAAACGTATTTTAAATTGTAATTATATTTCACAATATTACTATTTTTATTGTATTTTTTGTTCAAATTAATGCAGCCTTGGTGAGCAGAAGAGACTTCTTTCAAAAATATTTGAAAATCTTACAAACGCCAAACTTCTGAACTATAGTGTAGTTGTCTAAGCACATTAAACTGGAGTACAATAAAGTATTTTAACATTAAAAAATGACACATTTCACCCACCCAAAAATAGAAATTATTTCTTAATTTTGTACTGATCACAAAGAAAGATATTTTGAAGAATGTTGGTAATCAAACAGTTGAAGGTAGCCATTGACTTACACAGTATTTATTTTTATTTTTCCATATTATGGAAGTCAATGGCTACCGTCAACTGTTTGGTTACCAACATTATTTCAAATATCTTCCTTTGTGTTCAACAGCTGAAAGGAATTCATACAAGTCTGGAACAACTTGAGAGTGAGTAAATGATGCCATATTTCATTTTTGGGTGATCTATCCCTTTAACCTTTCTACATCGATGAAATCTTAAATAATAAAATATTAGATTGGCTTGCATTTATGAACTGACCAGACACTGATACCAATCTGACTCAATAAAAGAAGTCCCGTAGTGTTTACAGCAGCCTGCAGACATTCATAGAAGCAGCATTTCACTGGTGTGTGTGAATGCAGGAAGCCTTTAACTATAGATCATCAAACCTCAATTGACTAAAGAATTAACTGGTCCAAGAGATTTCCAGACGAAAGGCATTTTGTGATCACTGAGCTCAAACTAATTCATAAAATGTGGTTTGATCTTGCATTATTTTTAGCCGCTCCAGGTAATAAGAGCAGCAGAAGCAGACTCTCTGCAGACGTGCTGCTTCACAGAGAGATTTACTGACAGCCCTCAATGCGGCCGGCGCATATAAAAACACCTCTTTATTATCCCATAAAAGAGAAACAGCGTTGGACCAACATTGTTCAGCACGACGCTCTGACTTTCTTCCTGCACAATCAAATTACACAACAAGAGACAAACTTTGGACACAATGGGTTTTAGAAATGAGACATTACGAAGTGAGCAAGAAAAATCTATATATTGACATTGTATAAACAAGTTTGTTTTTTTTATCAACATTTCAGTAACTGTGATGTAAAATTGATGGTGCATTATTTTAACATGCATGTCTATGTCTAATTTCAGGGAGCGAATTTTCAGGGAATCCCTACAGCCATCCACAGTACACAACCTACAATGAAGCCTGGAGATTCAGCAACCCAGCAATACTGAGTGAGTGTCTCCTAACAAAAATGTACCATGGTAAACACAGTTTCTGCCAAAATATCATAGGTAAAGTATTTGTTACTACAATAAAACTGATGCTTTGTATTAGACACCACTGTCCTCAATCGATTGATCAATCAATCAATCAACTTTTTTAATTACATAAATATATATTTAAAAATAATATAATTTTAAAAATAATAGAAAAAATTTCATTTAATTTAAAAAGTACTGAATGCAAAAAATTTTATAAAATAGAATTTATAAATAAATAAATAGTTTTAGAAAGCTTACTAAACAGTTGAAAGGACATCCCAAATAAATTGTAGTCACTTTAACTGGTTAACTGTCTGTTGAGAGTTATATGTTTGCTAGAAATTAATTAACAGTCCTTTAAGATTAACAGATCTTATAGATTTTTCTCATTTTTGCTGTCTAAAACGCTTGACTCTGCAACAGTTTTTGCATTTATGACTTTTTGTAGTATTATGTGGTGAATCTTTACCAAGAATCATTATGCAATTAATGTAAATGCAATAACAATTAGCTGGGAATGTTTTAGTGCACAAGCTAAATATGTCGTAAGCATCTGAATATTAGCTGAAATGACATGAAATATATATATTTGGGTATTCTGTAAACAACAACAAAAATAGCATTGTGTGTTCATAGAGCGAATATACTGTATGTGTTAAAAATATTTTTTCCAGTCATTTACATAATTATTTCAATTTTATTGGTTTGTAATTCCTGGATCTTGGCTGAAGTTGATGGAATTTGCATTAATTATTTTGATAGCAAAATCCTGGCCATACATGAAATCAATACTATATGATGCTTAAAACAAATATGCATTTAATATATTAATATGCAGTCATTGTCGTGGTGTATTGAAATGGTACATTCCTTTCTTATTAACTTTCAGGTTCCCCCTATTATTATAGTGCATCCCGAGGCTCCGCCACTGCCTATGACCGCCACTAGTTACCACGGAAACCAAATCAGGCGGCACGCCCACGGACTCGGACTTCATATTCTGCCAGTGTGAGCAGTGCAGCTGATTGAACAGAGCGGTTTCATGCAGTCACATGATGAAGAACAGACCAATCAGGAACAAAAACATCTCGACGACAATTCAGCCAGTCGCACGAGCCTCAACGGGCTCGACGAGGGAAAACCGATAAACGAACAATAAATGTATATCTCAAAGACTGAGGGTAAATATGATTTTTAAAACAAAATTAACATCTGCTTTTTTAATACTTTTATATTTTGTCCGTTCATTAATATTATTCATAGGTATTCATACTTAAAGAGGTTCTAGCATATATATGCATTTGTTTGTTTGGATAGACACTGAAATGAATGATATCAAAGGACATTTTCTAAAATGAAAATTGCTAATATATGTAAAAGCATTTCAGATGCTGTCAATGTGCTGATTTTGTACTTTTGAGTGTCTATCCAAATTTACAAAAATGTCTATGTTTATTTATGAATACCTACAATACGAACAAGTTCACCCTGGATGTACACATCTAACGAGGAAAACCTTTCCAACGCATGGTTGTAGATTCTCCTAATAGGTTTCTCTCTCGGTGTGTCTCTGGACTGCGCAAAAACGAACAGTAAATCTCAAAACTTGACACTCCACTCATCGCACAATAAACTATCACTCAATACAGTATGTACCCAGCATGGAAATACAAAGCAAGCAGGCCTTCTTCTCCCTCTCAATGCCAGCAGAAGATCGCTAGCACACTTCTGTGAGAAACAATCAGAAAACAACCAGAAAGAAGAAGAAACCGGGAGAAGAATATTTCATCAAACAGAGAAACTGTCAATCCTGGTCCTGCCGAGGCCAGATTTGATTATACGTGGAAGATACATTTTTGTATGTTGTTGTTTTTTTTTTATAATGACAAAGGTATCATGAAGGACTCTACAGTATGCATGGATTATTTTCATTCATTATGCATTTTTATGTGTTTATCATAGATCAAATTATGTCAAATTCTCAGGGGGGGGATTCACTAAGAATGAACTGATAAGCACCTGATTTGTGCAAAACACTGCAAACACTATTTCAGCCAGTTGCATAAACTTAAAGGGTTAGTTCACCCAAAAATAAAAAATTAGCTTGTGTTTTACTTACCCTCGAAGCATCCTAGGTGTATATGGCTTTCTTCTTACAGACGAATCCAGTCGGAGTTATATTAAAAATTGTCTTTGATCTTTCAAGCTGTTTAATGCCACTCAGCGGGTGTTGCAGTTGAACAGTCCACAAGTCGTCAAATAAAGCTCGCGCATTCATAATAAAACGTGATGCAGATGGCTCTGGGGGATGAATAAAGTCCCCCTGTAGCGAATCCATGAGTTTTTGTAAGAAAAATATCCATATTTCAAATGTAATAAACACTTTTCTCTCACTTCCGTTATCTGTCGTACGCGGATCCGTTCGGGTGGAAGGCTTATGATGTATGCGCAGCGCGCGCGCCTCTGAGATATGCTAGTCTCGCGAGTTTGTTTAATAGGAGCAAAGGAAGCAAAGTCTCCTTACTTTAGCAAAGGAAAACCAGTCTCCTCTTGGTTTATATCGAAATCCTCCGACATTTTTCTTTGCAAATCTTCGGTTTGTACTTCTAATTAGTGACCGTTGTTTTGTTTTGTTCTCTCGCCGCGTTCGTCACTAATCACACAACGCCGCGCGTCTTACGTCATCCGCCAGAACGGCTTCAGTGTATGACAGTCAGCGGAAGTGAGAGAAAAGTGTTTATTACGTTTGAAATATGGATATTTTTCTTACAAAAACACATGGATTCGCTACAAGGGGCCTTTATTCATCCCCCGGAGCCGTCCGCGGCACGTTTTATTATGAATGAGTGCGCTTTATTTGACGACTTGTGGACTGTTCAGCTGCAACACCCGCTGAGTGCCATTAAACAGCTTGAAAGATCAAAGACAATTTTTTATATAACTCCGACTGGATTTGTCTGAAAGAAGAAAGTCATATACACCTAGGATGCTTCGAGGGTAAGTAAAACACAAGTTAATTTTCATTTTTGGGTGAACTAACCCTTTAAGTCAAGAATGTGTATTGAATTTTTCTAATTCAAATCTTTTTATGCAACTGACTTAAAAAAAAAGTTATGGGCAGTTGTGCAGGAAAAAAAATAGATGACTAACTTTTAAGACTAGTCTGGTTTAGAGCTGGTCAGTAAATAACACGCATGTTTTTGTGCTGAAATACAGGTGCAGAAGTGGTTTAGTGAATTCACCCCTCAGTGTTATTGTTTGCACTATGGGTTGTGCTCTTTATGAGATGGCTGTGAATATCTTCAGTCTTGAGTGAATAAACAGTGAACTTACTCTTCGGTCGGATTGGATGCTCAGTGTTTTGCTATGAATTTTTGCAGCATTTGAGAAAAACAAACCTGTACTACTGATCAGATGAAGCACTTAAATCTCCAAATGTGTTTACAGAATAGTTAGCAGCTGTTCAATTAATCGACAGATGGGTTGGTCACTGGTTATCGGCTTTATGATTTACTTTTCAGAACTCTGCTTTGCGATCGTCAAGCTGTTTCATGTAACACACACACACACAAAACTTTTGTTCAATGCTTTACAACAAGTGCAATTCTGCAAAACATTTTTTCATAATCATGTACCGTATGCTCCAGTCTGAGGTCATGTTCTGACAGACAACTTTAGTTTTCATCGAATACGTTACAGTTGAGAGAATGTACTTGTGTCACATTTGCCAAAGACTTTTGTTGATGTATATTTTTATTTACAGTCTGCTGTTGCATTGTACAAACAGTATTATAGTGAAAACATTATCAATATATGTACAAATCCTATGCAGAGCAAAGAAAAGCTGTTGTATGCATAAACTATAAAACTACTGACATGTTTGTTTTGTTCATTATTTATGCTATTTTGTGAAATAATAATTTTTTTAATAATTTTGTGTGAAATGTCATTTCTGTACTGTAAATACATTCTGATCAAATCTGGTTTGTCTCTGGTTTCATCAAGCATCTTACAGACACACGAGTCGAATACAAACAGGAATACTAATACACAAAACTAAGCAACACAATTTCTTCTTCTTTGTCTGAACACTTTACTTTATGGACTTATTACAATTACTCCCAACCAGAAACAACTTTAAAATATCTCATACTTCACAAAGTAACACATAGCAGCAGTTGGCTGGATTTGAATTTTCTTGTAGGCTAATGTTTATTTAGATAAGCAATTTCTTTAACTTATTTATTTAAATTATTATTAAAAGCAAAACTTACATAGAAATAAAAATGTGGACTTCAAATGCATATTGTGTCCTTCATATTCAAATTGTTTTTTTTTTTTTCACAGAAACCCTGTGGAATCGCATTAGTGCCACAAAACTGTTATTTATGAAATGGTAAATTATATTTAATGTCAAGATTCAAAGTCTCGATAGCATAAAAAATAGTTATATATAGGGAATATTGCAGGAATTTTATTACATTTTCCAGTAATTTCTTACAACAATAAACGTTGATTTTTACTGTGAAAACAATGCAGACTGGGACATTTTCATTAAAAGGTATCCATCTATCTATACATCCACCTATCTATTCGTCTACAGTATATAGCTATCCATCTATCTACCCATCTATCCATTTCCAACTCATTTATATATCCATCCATCTATCTATCTATCTATCTATCTATCCACCCATCCATCCATCCATTCATCCGTCCAAAAATATACATTTAATTCTAACAGTAGGTTTCTAATGCTAAAAGTTATATACAGCATCTATTAGAACACACTATAAATTCACATTATTTGTTACAGTGTACAACTGTATGAATATCATCATATTATGAATATCACTGTCCTCAATAACAGCTTAATGTTGACAACTATGAGAAAGTGCATGTAAAGAACAGGCCGTGTGTTATGTAATTAAAATTTCAGTTTCAGATCTCTTTCAGAAGCATTTCGGAGAACGATCCCCTCGAGGCTTTATAAACACCTCGTTGCTTAATGGACTGAATTCTATTTTGTTTATTCACAAAAAAAGTAATTAGGGAATTTAAAGCTAAATAGATGAACTTATTTAAGGGTGCCAGAGATCACAATGTGGCTGGGAAGAGCGCCAGAGAATGTTTTCTTTATGATTTGGATCACTGAGCATATAAAATGTATAACCTCTCAAGGCTCTGAAAAGCTGAAATAATATTTTGAAGAAATGGGGATGAATTCAATTAGCAGAGACCTCACAAATACAGAGGGAGGCATCTAAGCAGGAATTCTCACAAAGGATGCAATGAATTTCTTTGGAAATGAGTTTTTTCCCCGTCTCTTAATCCTGCGGGCTTATGGAGAATTGTTTGGCCCTTCATTATTGATTATGAATAAAGAAGAAAAGACCAGATTGACTGAGGTGAGTTCATTCCGCTTGAACAAAATCACTAGACCTATAGGAGAGATTTTTTATTTGTCTATGAACAAAATCTGACCGTTAAACTACTTTTATTTTTTCTATGGTGAAGCTACTTTATAAAAAAAAGATGAGACCAGGCATTTATTGGCTTTTCCAATATGGAAATTGCTGTGCAATGCTGATTTAAATGCAATTTTTTTTTACATTTGTCTTATATATACAATTTAATTATAAATAAACTATATACTCGCAAAACATGACTCACAATTGTTTACCATGGTAATTACAGTTTCAGCAATTACAATTATTGTAACTATTTTATAATCACAATAAATCATGTCATCTCTCTCAAATATATAAGAAGCCTCCATCTTTTCTTTCTTTGTTTATTTTACATTATCAGTATTTGATTTCAATATCAATAGCTATTTTAACCGTGATATTTGCTGGAAACCTGTGTTTACCATGGTAAATGTGTGCAAGGGTTTAGCTGAAGTTTTGCCTGTAGTTTCATCTTTTCAGCTGGTGTTTTTCTCTCCGCTCCCTTGTGTAGCATCTCACGTCAGCCTCTAACTGTCGTATATGTTTGTCATTCAGGCCTTGTTAGGAGAAGAAAAAACCCACTGTTGACTCCTTCCCTCCCCGAGCGGAGAATTCCCTGTGGTAAAATTATTCCATTTAGATGAAAACTTTTTGTCACTCCTGTCTAAATTGGCATTTCTGGCTCTTTCACTGAAACCAGTAAACTGTGAACCTGGATGCAGCTGTCAATCAAACGGAGCGTTACTTCAGCGTGCCAGATGACGGGATTCGGGGAGGGGAGAGAGAACAGACAGAGAGAGAGCTGCCAGCTGATTGGCTGAAAAAGGCACCTGCCACTGTCAGAGCTTGTCAAATTCTGCACACACACACATAACATCATATAGACTGTTTAAAACATATAGGCCTGCACATTTAACCGAACTATCCATTTTGACATCTAGTCTAGATTTTACAGCTAAAATGTGTCATCATTAACTTACAGGGTTTATAAACTCCCAGTTTAATGATCTGAGCACCTTCTGCATGAACACAAGCCTCCATTCACTGACCGTTAATGAGCTGATCTGTTAGTGCTGTGGTCAGTTATTTACAAGCATGTGACCGCTAATGTTCAGCAGTGTGATCAGAGCAACGGACGCTACAGCAGAGTTACAACACTGTCAGACACTGGTATCACAAAAACCAAATCCAGTTGCAGTCATTTTACCTTCAACATTTAAGTGCATGTTTACTTGCTGATATGAACTACTTAGTGTAATAAAAAATAATGTATAACCCATTCAAAAATGCAGTCTAAAACATTTTCATAATTCTAAAAATATATGTAACACATTTTTAATATTTTAATTTTCCCCTCATTTATTTTGTAAATGTTTAATTTAACACAAATTCTCTATTTTTGTAAATTAAAGGTTAATTCACTGTTAACTAGCTTGTTATCCAACTAAAATCAACCTGAAGGTTAATAAAGAACACATTTATATACAGTATTGAGAATATGTATTTATTTATTTATTTGAACAAAATAAATAGAATATAGTTTCCTAAAAAATTCAAAATTAATAAATAGTTTCTTAATAATTTCTTTCAAATTAAACAAATTTTCAATAAAAATGAGGAAAAAAAAATACACAATAAGAAAATGTTTGAAGCTA